ATATATATATATATATATATATATTAAAATCTTGATACGTATTTGGCAGCATTTGAGGAACTTTTCAAGTAATAAATGTTTATTTAGCTCATTGTTTTCTTGACTGATTTTCATGAGTTGAGCTCTTTTTTTTTCTTCATAAATCCGTGCGAACGAAACTTTGCCTTTTACAAACATTATTAAACTCTAACTTCTTCAGCAATTACTATAACAAAGCCGGCTTAATGTGTGTACATGTTCTCAACAACTTCTTCAATAAGTAATTAACTTTATTGAAACTTATCCCAATGAGTGAAATCCCTAATGAGTGAAAATCACTTTAAAGTGTAATGAAATAATAACAGTGAGGGGATAGCAGTTATCGACAATGTCAACCTTCATATCTATGAAAAGGTTACCCCACCGTAGAATCGAATTAACATGTCTTATATACTAGTGAATTGGAATTAAATTTTTTTAGTGGTAGATACACTACATTGGTTAACAATGGATCAGTAGTTTTGCTAAGTGATTCCAAAAGAATCACAAAGTGTGATGAGCTGCAACGAGCAGGGAATGAAGTCCTCTAGCAATAATAATACCAAAATATATTCTTTCTTTTTTTTAAAAAAAAAAGTAAAAGCTTTTAGTTTTATGAGTACTTACCTGGTATATTGGCATGGATTGTGGATCATCACGAGTTGAGTCAGTTGTTAAGGACCATGCTGCGATACCTAAAATTTTGGAAACAAAGAAATTACTTAGAATTCTTTTTTAAATAAAACATTGTATTCGTTTGTATTAATAGCATGCAAACGGTTGAAAATGTTAAAACTTCCCTAATTTTTAGAAGACATTTCATTTTCGAGTATTTTAAAGTAACGTAATCTTTTTAAACGACAGTTTTGACAATAATTAATTCAACGTAATGAAAGTTAAAACTTTAACACTAAACATACCAACATTTAATCTATATACCTATTTCCACAATAGTCGGTCATATGATCGGACTTTATGTTTCTTGATTGAATGTATGAGATATAGAACTGTAGATTAAAATTTTGCCAAATATGTAACTAACTGCATTTTTGTTCATTTTTTTTTAATTTCACGTTTATATTTCTTGTTGCCCCTGTTGAGAAAATAGTTGTAAATAATAATATTCTTCAATTATGAAAACAAAAATAACATTTTGATATCATAGATCTCTTTTAAGATCTCCAATAAGTCGTAAAAATTTGAAATATTTGCAGAATCTTAATATTTGAACACTTTTAAGCAGAATTTTTAATTTTATATGATATGAAATTTTTTTTTCACAAAAAAGGTCTTTTTTAAACTACATTATTCTTTAATAACACCACAGATTGTTTAGACTAATAGTAAAATAAAAAATAAAGTACCTAAGGAGTTTCGATGTGCCATCTGCTCCGAAGGTTTAATGTAGCTCCTAGCTCATTTCACCAAAATTACGGTAAAGTAACCCAGAATCCACAACAAGGTTGCATTTCAATTCCACCCCAGGGCCCACCCTATCTCCAAATCAAATGATGGGCACCAGTTTCTTTCTAATCTTTCAAACTTACACTTCATATTTTCACTTATATTCGAATGTTAGCATCAGTCTCCGGCACATCCAGCCAAGCACGGGCTAATAAAATGAAGATCTCGAGAGATAAACTTTTACAACAAACTAAAAATAGTTCTTATTGAATGAAAAAAAAATGTTTTTAAAAAAAACATGCGGAAAACGCTATTAAATCTACAATAACTTTCTAACAAACCGGAATTTCAAAAAAGAAAAAGGAAAAAAAAAAGAGTTAAGTTCATTTATGAAAAGCTCGACGAATTTTAATTTTGTTGTTGTATTTCAGCGACACATCCAACATATGAATGAGTATAGCAATCGGAGCATCTATTGACACCATCTATTGACAATTTCCGCCATTAAATTTCAAAATTTCTGTTTAAAAAATTTTGAAGCTTTCAAAATAAACATGCTTTCTACCCTTCTTTCTGAGATTTTTAATTTTGAAATCAATCAGTCAGCCACATGGAACCCTATACCTTCAGTCTCTGGCCAAATTTTTAGACGCCCTATAAGATTCTATGTAAAATCTTAATTATCAGGTGATACTCTATACAGCTTTATTATTTTTTACGTGACTGTTTGCACTTGTTTACGTTAGTGTATCAATGGGTTAAATGAGTCGATATGTAATATACATTTAACGATTGGAAAAATTCGACGACATATTATATAAATATAGAATATTTATTATATCAGGCGTTATATTAGTATATTATAATGATTAGACCAAATGATTAGATGCAATCTAGTGTTTTAATAATGACATGATTTGCTCTAGTTTATATACAATACTTTTATATTTAAACATACATGTCATGGGTTTTTATTCAAGAGATTTTTTATATACTTCCTATTTGTATTTATGTTTTAACGTATTGCATTACAATGTTAACCAATTGATACACTCACGTAAACAAGTGCAAATAGTCGCGTAAAAACGATAAAGCTGTATAGTATCACCTGATAATTACAATTTTACATAGAATATTATAGATCGTCTCATAATTTGGTCAGGGACTGTATAAACGCTAATTATTGACAACATAGTATTATTCATTTAATTAACTAGAATGATATTTGTTCGATCGAATTTTTCACATTTCCCTTAAATCTCTGTCTCCGGGCATCGTCTGATAGAAAGGTCCTCTTCGCATTCTTTCTCTACAGTAAATGGAACAAAGTCCTAACTTAGTGCGGGTCATTAAGTTTGCCTCAGAGTTGGCGACAGCAAGAAAAAAAGATGCTTTCCCTCATTTTCTTCTGCCCAGCCTATATCCAGTAACGGCTAGTAGGTTACTCCAACCGTGAAAAATGAAGAACTATTTATTTATTGTTTTTACTCGACTAACAGTGATTCTATTCAGGATTCTTCTCTCTTAACTTGGAATTTAAAACAAAAACATCAAAATATATTCCAGTTTCGAACGAATCATAACGTGAATTAAAAGTTTTAAACTGACGCGAAATAAACAGTTTTTTTACAACAATAATTTGTGCTCTGCTGTTTATGTTTCTATTGACAGAATATATACAACAGATAACAAACAAATAACAAATGAATACAAAAAACGCAAAAAGAAAAAAAAATAGAAAATTGAGAAAAATAATAAGTTTTATTTACTGCACATAAGTTGTAAGTAAATAGAACTCATAAAATAAGTTCAGAATGCAGAGAAAACAGGGAAACAATTGCAGAACAATGAGAAAAGGGAAAAAGAAAAATAATAATAAAAAAGATAAAAATCCGGACAAAAGATTTCGAGAAGAAGGGAAAAAAATTATCCGGACAATGGAATAATCTTCCCATCAGCTCACACGATTATATTCGCTAAAAGGAGTGCTTTCTCATATTGTACCAATGTAGCCAAGGCAAAATATATCAATACAATAGTGCGAGCACTCAAAAAAATGTTTACAAAAAATTTACAACAAACAAAATAGAACACATTAAGTTAAAATGTCACGTAAAAACAGAAAATATGAAAAAAAATAAACAAAGATAAAAATATAAAACGAAATCTATAAAGCGAGTAGAGAATTCAAATGAACTTACATGAACTGGAAATTTTTCACGAATGATTTAAAATATTTTCGTAACAAGATTGCCAGATTACAAATTATGAGCATACTCTACATTTAGAACTTTTATTTATTTGCTTATATATATATAT